TGTGAAAGGAAAAGTACCCAAGGGCGACGTGGATGTGGATCTGCCGGAAGGAGGCGTAGACGTTAATCTCCCGGAGGCTAATTTGGATCTAAAAGATCCGAAAGGTTCTGGTGGGTTCAATATCAATTTACCATCGTTTGGTTTAGGAGGAAAAGGGGAAGCCGATTTGGATGCCGGCATATCGTTACCAAAAGGCGAAGTTGGTATCAAAGGTGAATTGCCCGACGCCGACATCAACGTTAAAGCTCCAAAAGGAAAAGGCGGTTTCCACTTCGGTCTACCGAAATTTGGTATCAAAGGTAAGGAGCCGAAAGGTGAAATTGATATGAATCTTCCAGAAGGGGACCTGAACGTGGACGCTCACTTGCCAGATGCCGACGTAAATCTGAAAGGACCAAAAAGTTCCGGCGGATTCAACATAAAAATGCCGTCTTTCGGAATCAAAGGTAAAGGTCCTAAGGTAGAAGGAGGCGTCGATGCAGATGTATCTTTACCGAACGTAGAGGCTGATCTGAACGCCGGCGTATCGTTACCAAAAGGCGAAGTTGGAATAAAAGGTGAATTACCAGATGCCGACATCAACGTCAAAGCTCCAAAAGGTAAAGGCGGTTTCCACATCGGTTTGCCGAAATTCGGTATCAAAGGTAAGGAGCCGAAAGGTGAAATTGATATGAATCTTCCAGAAGGTGATCTAAACGTAGACGCTCACTTGCCAGATGCCGACGTGAACTTGAAAGGACCGAGTTCTGGCGGATTCAACATAAAAATGCCATCATTCGGGCTGAAAGGACCCAAGATAGAAGGAGTCGATGCAGATGTTTCGTTGCCAGATGTGGGTGTTAAAGGTGAATTGCCTGACGCTGATATCGACCTGAAAGGAAATAAGAAAGGTATTCACATTGGACTACCCAGTCTGCCTAAAGCCAGCTTGAAAGGAAAAGGCGTGAAAGGTGACGGCGATGTTGATATTAAATTACCAGGAGGAAGATTGAACGTCGATGCTGAACTTCCTAACGTGGACGTAAAAGCTCCTCAAGGTTCAGCTGGCCTCAACGTCAACCTACCGTCGTTGGATGTTGAAGGAAAAACTCCAAAAATGGATGCCGATCTGTCAATACCTGAAGGCGGTATAGGCGTTGAAGGAGAACTTCCAGATGCGAATATCGACGTGAAGGGAATCAAAGGCAAAGGTGGTTTTCATATCGGTCTACCTAGTTTACCTAAAGTCAGTCTAAAAGGTAAAGGTACAAGAGGAGATGGAGACTTCGATGTAGAATTACCAGAATGTGATGTGAAAGCTGAGGTTCCGGATGTCAACCTGAAAGGTCCGAAGGCATCGGGAGGTTTCCACATTGGCATGCCAAAATTTGGTGTGAAAGGAAAAGTACCCAAGGGCGACGTGGATGTGGATCTGCCGGAAGGAGGCGTAGACGTTAATCTCCCGGAGGCTAATTTGGATCTAAAAGGTCCGAAAGGTTCTGGTGGGTTCAATATCAATTTACCATCGTTTGGTTTAGGAGGAAAAGGGGAAGCCGATTTGGATGCCGGCATATCGTTACCAAAAGGCGAAGTTGGTATCAAAGGTGAATTGCCCGACGCCGACATCAACGTTAAAGCTCCAAAAGGAAAAGGCGGTTTCCACTTCGGTCTACCGAAATTTGGTATCAAAGGTAAGGAGCCGAAAGGTGAAATTGATATGAATCTTCCAGAAGGGGACCTGAACGTGGACGCTCACTTGCCAGATGCCGACGTAAATCTGAAAGGACCAAAAAGTTCCGGCGGATTCAACATAAAAATGCCGTCTTTCGGAATCAAAGGTAAAGGTCCTAAGGTAGAAGGAGGCGTCGATGCAGATGTATCTTTACCGAACGTAGAGGCTGATCTGAACGCCGGCGTATCGTTACCAAAAGGCGAAGTTGGAATAAAAGGTGAATTACCAGATGCCGACATCAACGTCAAAGCTCCAAAAGGTAAAGGCGGTTTCCACATCGGTTTGCCGAAATTCGGTATCAAAGGTAAGGAGCCGAAAGGTGAAATTGATATGAATCTTCCAGAAGGTGATCTAAACGTAGACGCTCACTTGCCAGATGCCGACGTGAACTTGAAAGGACCGAGTTCTGGCGGATTCAACATAAAAATGCCATCATTCGGGCTGAAAGGACCCAAGATAGAAGGAGTCGATGCAGATGTTTCGTTGCCAGATGTGGGTGTTAAAGGTGAATTGCCTGACGCTGATATCGACCTGCAAGGAAATAAGAAAGGTATTCACATTGGACTACCCAGTCTGCCTAAAGTCAGCTTGAAAGGAAAAGGCGTGAAAGGTGACGGCGATGTTGATATTAAATTACCAGGAGGAAGATTGAACGTCGATGCTGAACTTCCTAACGTGGACGTAAAAGCTCCTCAAGGTTCAGCTGGCCTCAACGTCAACCTACCGTCGTTGGATGTTGAAGGAAAAACTCCAAAAATGGATGCCGATCTGTCAATACCTGAAGGCGGTATAGGCGTTGAAGGAGAACTTCCAGATGCGAATATCGACGTGAAGGGAATCAAAGGCAAAGGTGGTTTTCATATCGGTCTACCTAGTTTACCTAAAGTCAGTCTAAAAGGTAAAGGTACAAGAGGAGATGGAGACTTCGATGTAGAATTACCAGAATGTGAAGTGAAAGCTGAGGTTCCGGATGTCAACCTGAAAGGTCCGAAGGCATCGGGAGGTTTCCACATTGGCATGCCAAAATTTGGTGTGAAAGGAAAAGTACCCAAGGGCGACGTGGATGTGGATCTGCCGGAAGGAGGCGTAGACGTTAATCTCCCGGAGGCTAATTTGGATCTAAAAGATCCGAAAGGTTCTGGTGGGTTCAATATCAATTTACCATCGTTTGGTTTAGGAGGAAAAGGGGAAGCCGATTTGGATGCCGGCATATCGTTACCAAAAGGCGAAGTTGGTATCAAAGGTGAATTGCCCGACGCCGACATCAACGTTAAAGCTCCAAAAGGAAAAGGCGGTTTCCACTTCGGTCTACCGAAATTTGGTATCAAAGGTAAGGAGCCGAAAGGTGAAATTGATATGAATCTTCCAGAAGGGGACCTGAACGTGGACGCTCACTTGCCAGATGCCGACGTAAATCTGAAAGGACCAAAAAGTTCCGGCGGATTCAACATAAAAATGCCGTCTTTCGGAATCAAAGGTAAAGGTCCTAAGGTAGAAGGAGGCGTCGATGCAGATGTATCTTTACCGAACGTAGAGGCTGATCTGAACGCCGGCGTATCGTTACCAAAAGGCGAAGTTGGAATAAAAGGTGAATTACCAGATGCCGACATCAACGTCAAAGCTCCAAAAGGTAAAGGCGGTTTCCACATCGGTTTGCCGAAATTCGGTATCAAAGGTAAGGAGCCGAAAGGTGAAATTGATATGAATCTTCCAGAAGGTGATCTAAACGTAGACGCTCACTTGCCAGATGCCGACGTGAACTTGAAAGGACCGAGTTCTGGCGGATTCAACATAAAAATGCCATCATTCGGGTTGAAAGGACCCAAGATAGAAGGAGTCGATGCAGATGTTTCGTTGCCAGATGTGGGTGTTAAAGGTGAATTGCCTGACGCTGATATCGACCTGCAAGGAAATAAGAAAGGTATTCACATTGGACTACCCAGTCTGCCTAAAGTCAGCTTGAAAGGAAAAGGCGTGAAAGGTGACGGCGATGTTGATATTAAATTACCAGGAGGAAGATTGAACGTCGATGCTGAACTTCCTAACGTGGACGTAAAAGCTCCTCAAGGTTCAGCTGGCCTCAACGTCAACCTACCGTCGTTGGATGTTGAAGGAAAAACTCCAAAAATGGATGCCGATCTGTCAATACCTGAAGGCGGTATAGGCGTTGAAGGAGAACTTCCAGATGCGAATATCGACGTGAAGGGAATCAAAGGCAAAGGTGGTTTTCATATCGGTCTACCTAGTTTACCTAAAGTCAGTCTAAAAGGTAAAGGTACAAGAGGAGATGGAGACTTCGATGTAGAATTACCAGAATGTGATGTGAAAGCTGAGGTTCCGGATGTCAACCTGAAAGGTCCGAAGGCATCGGGAGGTTTCCACATTGGCATGCCAAAATTTGGTGTGAAAGGAAAAGTACCCAAGGGCGACGTGGATGTGGATCTGCCGGAAGGAGGCGTAGACGTTAATCTCCCGGAGGCTAATTTGGATCTAAAAGGTCCGAAAGGTTCTGGTGGGTTCAATATCAATTTACCATCGTTTGGTTTAGGAGGAAAAGGGGAAGCCGATTTGGATGCCGGCATATCGTTACCAAAAGGCGAAGTTGGTATCAAAGGTGAATTGCCCGACGCCGACATCAACGTTAAAGCTCCAAAAGGAAAAGGCGGTTTCCACTTCGGTCTACCGAAATTTGGTATCAAAGGTAAGGAGCCGAAAGGTGAAATTGATATGAATCTTCCAGAAGGGGACCTGAACGTGGACGCTCACTTGCCAGATGCCGACGTAAATCTGAAAGGACCAAAAAGTTCCGGCGGATTCAACATAAAAATGCCGTCTTTCGGAATCAAAGGTAAAGGTCCTAAGGTAGAAGGAGGCGTCGATGCAGATGTATCTTTACCGAACGTAGAGGCTGATCTGAACGCCGGCGTATCGTTACCAAAAGGCGAAGTTGGAATAAAAGGTGAATTACCAGATGCCGACATCAACGTCAAAGCTCCAAAAGGTAAAGGCGGTTTCCACATCGGTTTGCCGAAATTCGGTATCAAAGGTAAGGAGCCGAAAGGTGAAATTGATATGAATCTTCCAGAAGGTGATCTAAACGTAGACGCTCACTTGCCAGATGCCGACGTGAACTTGAAAGGACCGAGTTCTGGCGGATTCAACATAAAAATGCCATCATTCGGGCTGAAAGGACCCAAGATAGAAGGAGTCGATGCAGATGTTTCGTTGCCAGATGTGGGTGTTAAAGGTGAATTGCCTGACGCTGATATCGACCTGCAAGGAAATAAGAAAGGTATTCACATTGGACTACCCAGTCTGCCTAAAGTCAGCTTGAAAGGAAAAGGCGTGAAAGGTGACGGCGATGTTGATATTAAATTACCAGGAGGAAGATTGAACGTCGATGCTGAACTTCCTAACGTGGACGTAAAAGCTCCTCAAGGTTCAGCTGGCCTCAACGTCAACCTACCGTCGTTGGATGTTGAAGGAAAAACTCCAAAAATGGATGCCGATCTGTCAATACCTGAAGGCGGTATAGGCGTTGAAGGAGAACTTCCAGATGCGAATATCGACGTGAAGGGAATCAAAGGCAAAGGTGGTTTTCATATCGGTCTACCTAGTTTACCTAAAGTCAGTCTAAAAGGTAAAGGTACAAGAGGAGATGGAGACTTCGATGTAGAATTACCAGAATGTGAAGTGAAAGCTGAGGTTCCGGATGTCAACCTGAAAGGTCCGAAGGCATCGGGAGGTTTCCACATTGGCATGCCAAAATTTGGTGTGAAAGGAAAAGTACCCAAGGGCGACGTGGATGTGGATCTGCCGGAAGGAGGCGTAGACGTTAATCTCCCGGAGGCTAATTTGGATCTAAAAGATCCGAAAGGTTCTGGTGGGTTCAATATCAATTTACCATCGTTTGGTTTAGGAGGAAAAGGAGAAGCCGATTTGGATGCCGGCATATCGTTACCAAAAGGCGAAGTTGGTATCAAAGGTGAATTGCCCGACGCCGACATCAACGTTAAAGCTCCAAAAGGAAAAGGCGGTTTCCACTTCGGTCTACCGAAATTTGGTATCAAAGGTAAGGAGCCGAAAGGTGAAATTGATATGAATCTTCCAGAAGGGGACCTGAACGTGGACGCTCACTTGCCAGATGCCGACGTAAATCTGAAAGGACCAAAAAGTTCCGGCGGATTCAACATAAAAATGCCGTCTTTCGGAATCAAAGGTAAAGGTCCTAAGGTAGAAGGAGGCGTCGATGCAGATGTATCTTTACCGAACGTAGAAGCTGATCTGAACGCCGGCGTATCGTTACCAAAAGGCGAAGTTGGAATAAAAGGTGAATTACCAGATGCCGATATCAACGTTAAAGTTCCAAAAGGAAAGAGTGGTTTTCATATCGGTTTGCCTAAAGTTTCGTTAAAAGGCAAAGAGTTTAAAAGTGGGCATAACATCCATGTTGACTCACCTGATATCGAGCTCGCTTCACATTCCGTAAAATCTGAAAAAGATTACAATATTGAATTACCTTCTTTTAATTTGTCCGGAGCAGGTTTACAACAGTCTGCTGGTATTAGTGGAACTTCCTCGGACTACACGATTGAACCTTCCAGTAGATATCATGTTGGTTTTCCAAAAGCAGTGTCAAAAGCTCAAACCTTTGATTCTGATATTTCATCTCCTTCAGATGAGCAGCGAGTTTCAAGTCTGCCGAGAGCTAATGACAAGTGGAAAATTAAATCAAAAAGTAAAAGTAGACCTCGCAGCATGGAATTTAATTCTGGAAATATGTCACTTGAAGAGAGCGGTCCTGGGGAAGACGTCGACGTTTCAGGAAGTAAAAGGAAAAGAAAACATAAACGTGGTTTTATACAACGCATTAAAGAGTTTTTCAATTCGAATGATTCTAAATCGGGCAAATCCGACGTTGTCGATAGTTTGTCGATGGAACATCCAGATGACAAAGTTAAATCTAATGTCAGTACTATTTCTATACATGTTGATCGTCCTGAATTTGCCCTTGGTGAAAACGTTGCAACTACTTCTGCATTAGAGCCAACTGTTAAATTAAGCGATGCAGAATCTGGTAAAATAGCTTCCCCAGCTCATTCTTTGCAATACGGCCAGTCGTATAATGCATTTATTGAAAAAAACGTTATCGTGACAGAGACAAATAGCGGGACCATCATTCAAAAAGAACTAGTTTCACATCAAGTAAACATAGAAAGTAAATCCCCTTTATCATAAACATGCTTAAATCTTTAGGGTTGCAAATGAAAGTTTGACAATAATTCAAACTGTGTCTGTGTTCATCTTTTCTTTAAACGACTGATTTGATTTAACCGTTCATTATGTGTACCGCATTTTTCACTGCTTCAGACCGCATTTTGAACAAATTTAAGACAAATTGAATTGACCAACAAGAAACACTATTTTTATTTCTTTATTAATATACGTATACATACAATTTAAGCTTTTAAATTTAAGTTCATTATATTTTTGATCTGATAACGTGCTTTTGCTTTTTTAGTGGCTTACATGTGATTTTTTAAATAACAATATATTGAATAATAGTTTACTTATTTACACACCAAAAAAATTTTCAAATCTTAAAAACGATGAGCCTGCGCAAATCTGTTAATTAATCAAAAAATAACCCTCTGTTATCATTATCGTAATATAAAAAATCGGCAATGTTCTTAAGTACCTTAAAAATGTTAAGGCAAATGGAGTCTGTTTTTTGTAACTTTCCTACATCCCACTATATTTGACCAGTTTTAACGTGTCAATTACTGTCATATGAAAAATTTAATATAAAGGTAAACAAATTATTCAGAT